GAAAAATGTTGTTATTACAAAGTGTCAGAGAGTTCCTTAAATAGAGTTTTTAGGGTTTAGAAATTAGGATTTTTGAAATTAGGTCTGAAATTTGAAATTCAAAATCATAAGTGACACAAATAATCGATTATCATAAGTGATAATCGATTATTCCAGAGCCAATTTCGCAGATTACACAACTTAGCCAGGATAATCAATTATCAATAGTGATAATCGATTATTCCAGAGACTTTCAGAGACCTAAGAAAGCTAGGATAATCGATTATCACAGTGAGTTTTTGATAAAAACGAACTTTCAATGGACAAACTATGTGCTGGCTATCTTGGACTCTATTTTTACAGACTCAAAATAATAAAACAGAGTTATTACAAGTAGATGCAACTATATATGAGTCTTCTAATCTTGAAGTCCTTTGTCTCTAAAGCATCATATCCAGTATTTTCAACAAAATATATTATTAGATATGTTTAAGAACTTACTTGGATCTATTGCAAAAGATCTCTTGATGAATATTTTCTCTTTTCTTACTTCCTTTTATGTCTTTCTTGATGATATAAAATGTGTCCAATATAACCCCTTCTTTTGTCAAAATCATTTGCCTTTTATTGTTCAAGAACTTTAATCTTTCATAGAAAAAAATGTAATGTAACTTCTAGGTAGTATTGTAAAATATTTATTAAAATATCATAATATTCTTAATGAAAAAAAGAGAATTATTTTAATAACTCTAAAATAATTTTCATAACTTTAATACCTTTATAATCTAATAATCATCACATTATAAACTTTTATATTAAATTATTCTATAAATTACATGAGTGAATAGTAGATTAAAATAATCTAACAAGACACATAATCATGCAAGGTTGTATGTTTATCCCATAAACACCATGTTTAAGAGCATTTCACAATAAGGACTTATGTAAGTATTTTTTTTTTTAGAGAATAGTTTTAAAATGAAAGTCTCTGCACAAAGATATTTGCACTTTTAAGGTTTAAGAGTATTTCTTTAAACAAATAATCAATACTAAAAAAGAAGGACATATGAAGAGTTAAGAAAATTTATCGTGTTGGAGTTACTTACCAACTTTCTATTGGAACAACAAAATAACATTTAGAAGAAAAAAAGTGGTAAAGTTCTCTGTCCAATACTAATATAAGGGGTAAAGTATTTAATATTTACCACCTGCCACGACCAAAACATTTAATGTATGATTTTTAAAGCTTATTTTACAGGTCAAACAACATCATACTAAACCGAAAAACATAAAGAAGGAAAAAAATAACATAATGTCTAATTTAGAAAAGTATCTGTTAAGACAATGACTAGTTTCTAAAGATCAATAAACATAGAAGAAGAAAAGAAGAATGATAAAGTTGTTATGCTGGTTAAACCATGAACACTCGTTCAAAGAAAAATCCCTGTTCTTTTAGTTTTTGTAAAAATAGTTTTATTCCATTATTAAATATTCTTTAAGAATGATTTAATTTTAGTAAGCAAATGCTCTTGAGATGTTTAGCCTAAATCTAAAAATGCTAATGTTGTAAAACACTATTATATGAAACTATAAGTGAAGAGTCACTTATTATTTAAATAATACTTTTGGTTGAAAAGTTTGAAGAATCTTTTTAAACATTACTCATGTGTATGTGTGTGTAGAAACTTGTAAAGGCTACCCAAAGAATACCTATATTATAGTTAGGATTAACTTCAAGAATACTCATGTTTTATTATTAGTAGAAATTAACTTGTTTGGTTAAAAAAAAAAGATATAATCTATATTATAAGCGAACAAATACAAACATACTTATCTTTTATTCTTTATATTTCTTATCTTGATCTTACTTATTTACAGGGATATAGTTAGTGTATTTATGAATCTGATTAAAAAAATTATCAATAAAGTTTTATCATTTGATCTTATAGTCAAACTTTAAGTTTTTTTTTTTTAATTTCAAAATTTAATAAGACAAACAATTTAATCACTCCAATGTAATTAGGGATGGCAAAACGAGCCAGGCCCGGCGGGCCAGCCTGTCATAATATGGCGGGGCGGGTTGGTGTTTTCAACCCACTAGCCCGCTTTGGCCCGCCCCGCCAAACCCGCCAACCCATGGGCCAACCCACGGGACGGGACGGAGCCAGCCGCGACCCGCCTAATTAATAAAAAAATTATTTTTTATTGTAATAAAAATTAATTATAAAGATAATATATAAAGTTAAAAATTTGAAAAAGAGAATTAAAAAAGTTTCACTCTCACGTAAAATATTTTCCTTACTCGAAACACAACATTCTCTCTTGTTCTCCTTGTTCATCTTAAACACTCGATTATTTTTATTCTTATGACTTGAATTAAAGGTGTAAGAATTACTCAACCAAGAATAATGTGAAGTTTTATCAAATAAAAAAGATATAAGTATTTGAATTTTTCAATATAAAAAATATAAATTTTATAAGTTTTAACGTTATATATATATATATATATATATATATATATATATTTGTTATTATTTATTATTATGTAAATTTTATTATTGTTCTAAATTATAATTTCTTAAAATAATATATTGATTTATATTATTAAATTGAAATAATATATATATATATATATATATATTAAATTATTGACAAACAAATAATAATCTTATTATTAAATTTATTAAAAAAAATTATTTTAAAAAATAAATTATTTTTTCTAAATTATAGTGGGCCGACCGCTAGCCATGCTAACGCGCCCTTAGCGGGCGGACCAAAGTCTATAGCTCGTCATGACTATATCGGTCAGCCAGTCACGCCTAGCCTGCCCATCCGCCTCAGCTTTTGGTGGGCCAAAGGCGTGGCGGCTGACCCATTTTACTATCCCTAAATGTAATTCTAAATTTGTTGAGTGATATAAAATATTTCTTAACTTATGTAAGCAATATTGTTTGATTATATATTTATCAAGATTTTGACTTGTGACGCTGCAAAATAAGTATGAGAAAATCAAGAGATGATTTTCAAAAGTGTGAAAAAAAAATCCGAGTAAATATTGGAAAAATAATTTAAAATTATAAAAATGAAAAAAAATTACTTATCCATGATTTTTAGATTTTCTCACAATAATAGATAATAATACTGATGAAGAAATCTTGGTGTGTCTTTGAGAAGGTATTCGAGTAAACAAAAATAAAAATAAAAATTCAACATTTTATGTTAGATTCGTAATCAACCTAAAAAAATTCCTCAACGAGAAAAAATTATGAAAAAAAAAAAACTCTTGTAAAAAAAAATTACTAAAATATATATATATTTTTTAAATTCATTTATAAAGTCAAACTTGTTTATTCTAAACTTATTTTTCTTTATAAATATATTTTAATAAAAAAATATTTTTTTATATAAACTAAGTAATATATATATATATATATATAATGATTTTTAATTAATTATTATATACTATTTTATAATTTAATCAATTTAAAATAATTAATATTTTACAAGTAAATTTGTGAGTTTAAATTTATATTTAAATTAATAATCGTAGTTTCAAAAGTTTAAGTTATAAAGATAAAATAATGTTAATTGTCACATTAAATGAAAATTGAAATATTATGGTGATTAATTTAATAAATTATATATATTACACATAATTCAATTCAACTATTTAAAAATTAATATATTCACACATCTTACTTAACCTACTATTTTTTTTCATTAATTTTTTTAATAATTATTATATTCACGTATTTGTTATATTATTTTTTAAAATTATATTTTTCTTTTCATTTTCAAATGTATTTGATTTCTTTATTTACTAAAGATATATTTTTTCTTTCTATCTAATGTGAATACAAAGAGATTAACCCCTTTGTATATAATATAATTTTTTTAAAATTTATTTTATTATTTTTTTCTTTATCCATATTATCCCATATTCTAGTTTTATTTATTAATCTCTTTCTTTATAATATAATTTTTTAAATTTTGTTTATTATTTTTTCTTCATCTATACTACTTTACATTCTATTTTTTATTTATTATTTATAATATTTTGTTTTTCTCTTTTACGTCAAAAAAGTACTATAAGAAGGAATCCTAATATATATATATATATATATATATATATATATATATATATATTATAAAATATATACAAAAAACGATCATAAAAAATAAAATCGTCTTTATATATTTTTATATACAGTATAAAATATAATAATTAATTATTTAATAAATAAATTGTAAAAAATAATTCAAATTTAGTTATATTCATTTATTTATTATATGTAAATAATAATCATTTTAACATTAATTTAATACTAAATAGAAAAGTATATTTATTATAAATATAATTTAAATTTATTATTTTTAAATGTATTCCTTTTTAAAAAAATTATAAATATAATCATATTTTATTTCTAAATATATTATACATATAATTATTATATATATAATTGCACTTATATTTATTATTTTTTATTGTTATTCCTTTTAAAAAAATTATAAATATAATCATATTTTATTTCTAAATATATTATAAATATAATTATTATATATATAATTATTATATATATAATTGCACTTATATTTAATAAATGTTATTTAAAAAAAAGTTTGGTTATCTAATAATAATTGAATTCAGAAACAGGTCTATTATCTATTAAATTTTAAAAAAAATTGTAATTTATAATATTTATGATAAATGTTTTGTTTTGTTCGGTGAATAAATTTACCAACCAATAAGGTACGTAATCAGAAAATTTTATAATAATTTTATTTTCCAAAGATTTAAAGCAAACCAGTGGCAGTGTTACGGGAGTGGTATAAGTTTTGCAGGAAAAAGTGGCCCTTCCCCTGCTCAATGCTTTTCAAACTTCCACTTTAAACTTGCTTCTGACTTAAAACAGAAATTCAATCTCTCTGATCCAATCTAATCTTTGTTCTCCAACAATTCCCATTTCTCAACACTTGCAATCTTCTCCACAAGCGATAGCTTCATTTCTCAAGAGACCACAATGTTGCACGAGCTTCTGCTAGCCTTACTGGGCTACACCGGCGACTTAATCGTCGACCGGCGGGACCACCTCACCGCCGAAACCCCCATCTCCGACGAATGCACTTTCAAGCTCGCGCCCGACATATCTTTTATCGACCCAAGCGACAGGTTCTAACTCCACCTTCCATTTTTTTTTTATCTTTCCTCTAAACCCCAAAATTCAATTCTTTAACTTTGTAGGGTAATTTTTAATGGCCACGCTGAAAATTTAAACTTTTTTAATGGATTTTATTGGGTGCAGGGAACTTATTGAGAGGATCATTGTGTTGGGGTTTTATTATAGGGAGATGGAGCGATTTTCAGCCAAGTGTAGGAATTTAAGTTGGATAAGGTCTGTTAATGCGAACCCTTTGGAGAAAAAGGAGAAGGGAAGTGTGTACCGTAGGGCCCTAGCCAATGGCATTGTTGAAGTGCTCTCAGTTTATAGGTCTGCGGTTCTGCATATTGAGCAGAAGTTGTTGTCTGAAACCATGCCTATCTTGGCAACAGTTACTCAGGGACTTAACAAGGTAATTTTTTCTGTTCTGTTTTTAAGGTTTATTTTTATCTTCATTTTGATTTTGACTTTCTTTTCAGTTTTTTTGCCTTTTGCCTCCTCTGTACGAACTCATCCTAGAGATTGAGCGTGATGATATTCGTGGAGGTCAACTTCTTATTCTTCTACATAAGAGATGCCACTGTGGAGTGCCAGAATTACAGACTTGCATGCAAAGGTATGCGGTTCTTTTGACGCATAGTATTCTTGGTACGTTGAGATGCAGGTTATGTCATTTCTAACTATGTCAGGATTAGCCTCTGAATTTTGCTGTTCTATTAGCTTAGTAGTCAATAGACATATATGGTTTTAAGTGTTAAGTGATGAATGTTTTAATTCTGTGTAATAAAAAAAATATAGGTGTGAATAGAAAATATCAAGGACTATCATGTTGTGTAGGTTAATGATGGATTTCTTTTTGGGACAATGTGCTTCTTCTGGTCCTTAAAACATGGCATCAGTCTTCAGATTACACCCCTGGTTAATACTTATTATCTTTTGGGGTTGTTCTTGTCCAAAGCTTAGGCTTCTTTGGCATGGACATCAGGTCATGTATAACCAGCTTGCATCATGGATGGTTTATGGGATTCTTCAAGACCAATATGGAGAGTTTTTCATTAGGAGGTAACTTGGTATTAATTTTTAATGTTTTTACTGTTGATATGCATGCCATCATGTCTCAAAACAATTATAGGGGTAGACTGATGTGGTGGTGTGGTGTATTGCAAGAATGGTGTTGATAGTAAGATATATTCTTTTGTTAATTATCCTGGACTTCCAAACTTTCTGAAGGCCTTTGTTGAAAATATTTTATTTCCACTATTGATGTATCATACTATTAAATTGGATATAAATAGTTATTATTATCAATTATTGTCATAAGTTCTCCAAACAATTGTAGCCTCTGCTATATTTCATTATTTTCTGTTCTATGCTATTGTCACCATGATTTGACAATGACTAAACATTACTTATTTGTTTCATCTGTTGTAATATATGAAAACATCTTACATTATTTGGATCATATCTTAGATTATCCTTTAGGGTAAATTCCCTATTTACTCACTAAATTTTAGGATTGGTTACCATATTTCATCATCTTGTGGTTTGTCTCCTTCTAGTAGGATTGTGATTAGCATAAATAAAGGGTTAATACTCTACTTTTTATGATCATATCATCACATTATAACATATCACACCATATCAGGTTAATATCAGTTTCATAGTATATATATATATATATATATATATATATATATATATATATATATATATATATATATATATATTTTTTTTTTTTTTTTTTTTCCTACTTTGTCTCCATCAAACCCCTTAATTTCAACATTATCCATTATAGTTTATACCTGACCTGAGAGAACCTATAAAAAGAAGAAAGCTTTATCACCTCTTTCAAACTTTGTGATTATTTGGGAGCATTGATAATTTCTGGTTTCTTAGATTTGAGAATACTTATTTGCGATTGCTTTATAATTATATTTCTGACCTCAGTCATTTGCTTTTCAGGCAAGAAGACAGAGACGTAGAAAACAGCTCATCTCAACGGGATATCTCTGAAAAGTTGGCACGCATGTCAACTGATGATGCATCTTTGTCTGATTGGCACTCGGGGTTTCATATTTCTTTGGTATTATTAGCTAATTCTGGACTTGTCATGATACTGAGCTGATTTCCTTTGTGTGTTTGTTTCAAGGTTTAAAATTTTACAGATGAAAATGTTAACTTTGTAATGTAATATTCCAGTGTTTGTTATAATCCATAATAAAGTATTCCCTGGTAATGTTCGAACCTTGAAAAGTAGTAATACCTTGTTTTTGCTTCATTTTTGTGTTCCATACTAGGGTTGGGAAAGTTATATTCCCATAGGATTATGGAAAGTTATTTTCTAACGCAATTATAGCATCCATTTTTACTCTTGCTTTTTATTGAATTTTAAAAGATATTTCTAGAAATATTAAAATCTAACCAAATATACTCTTTTTATTTTTTTTAAATTTACTCAGGAATAACATTTTTGGTTATGGTATTATTGGGAATGTCGTACCTTGGTATGCAATATTGTTTTGGCTTAGTGTTTGTGAGCTCACTTTTCTGGATCAATGAAATTCCATGTCTCTATTTTTAATGAATGAGATTTTGGCCACTTCAACTGGAGTTCAAATTATCCTTTACTTTTGATTGACAGGTCACCAAGGGTTGATACATACACGTTTTACTAGTTATACATTTTGTTTTGCAGGATATGCTGCCAGAGTATATACCTATGCGGGTTGCTGAATCAATTCTTTTTGCTGGCAAAGCTGTTAGGGTTTTACGAAATCCAAGTCCTTCCTTCCAGTCTGGGGATGCTATGCATCCTCAACTGCCTAAAAGTTTTCAGAAAATACATGGATTAGCAGGGCGTTTTCATTTTCATAGGGAACCTGCAATTAATATGGGAATAGGAGATGATCTGCTTCCTCAATCTGAGACAGATAAGATTGAAGCAATGCTTCTGAACCTAAAGGTTTTCATGTTCAGCATTTCACTCAATCATATAGATGCTGTTTTGCCTTTTTTTTTTTTGTTAAATTGTTAGATTGTTTGCAGCGTTTTGTGTGGCTTACTTCTTTGTTTCTAACTAACTGACACATAAATCATTCTTGACTATTAACATTTCCAGTTAGTTTTAGGCAAACTCATTGTTAATTTTCCACAGGAATCATCTGAATTTCATAAAAGATCATTTGAATGTGCTGTGGACTCTGTTCAGACTATTGCAGCCAGTCATCTCTGGCAGGTGCTCATGATAAATTTTCTGGTTCATGTATTTATTAATTTTTTGGAGCATCAGAGCTTTTAATATCAATTTCCTCCATGTTTGCAGCTTGTGGTTGTACGTGCTGACTTGAATGGCCACCTGAAGGCATTAAAAGACTATTTTCTTTTGGCAAAAGGAGATTTCTTCCAGGTAAAGCATGAAATATTATCTAATCTATGCTAAGTTTTGAATGGCAGTGAGTGTGTCAACTTGCACATTTTGTTTTCTTTGTGTTAGAAAAACTGTTTTTGTAATGAAAAGTTGAGGTTCGGGCAGAGAGAAGATATGATCAAGAGTTCATACCTTAACTTACCACCCTACCATCTCTGAGCACACAACACCCTACATCTGTTGGAAACTGTTAGATATTGTTTAGATATTGTTTGATATTGTTAAAATATTGTTAGATATTGTTAACCATAATATCAAACAATATCTTCTGTTTATTTTCGGTTACTCTTTTAGTTGTACATCTCTCTATTATAAATAGATTACCCTATGTGTGGTTTATACACAAGGGAGATTAATCTCAAACCCTATTTTCTCTATATTCAACATGGTATCAAAGCTTAAGGTTATTTTGAATTTTTTTCGCCTTTGTCCATTGCTGGAGCCGCCACCGCCGCCGCTGCCGGTTCAATTGATCTTCCACATTAGAAAAGAGTTATTTTTGTTATTGGATATTATTTAGTAGTGTGAAAGTGCATGTTTAGGAAGGTTCTGACAAGGAAAGACTTGGTATTTAAGCGTGTCCATTAGTGACCCACTTCTCTTTTCTGGGAACTTACCTGGTATACTGGTTCACGCCGCTATCGTCATCGCCTCCGCTGCTGCCAGAGTTTCATTTTTTATCGGCAACATACAATTTTGCTCATGTTGGTCAGGCGACCATCATACCATTGAGATCACCACTATCGGAGTTGGTCGTCCGTTGTCTTCTGCGCCGTTTAGTCTCGACGAACTTGTTTTGGTCTTCTCGTTTTGGATTTGTGCTTCGTGGGTTGATTGGATTATTTTGGATTTGTTTTTAGGGTTTGTTCTCCTGCCCTTTATGACTTCTTCTGCTCCTTCTACTATTTCCAATTTTGTTAAAGATTTTTTTGCGTTGGCATCTCACTGTGATGACCGGACTCGCCCTTACAAATAGGGAAAATGGCGTCCTAAGTGTGAACATTGTGACAAGTTAAGTCACAAGATTAACAAATATTATACATTACATGGTCGTCCTCCTTGATCTACTGCAGTTGTTCAGACCGATCATTCTCCACCTTTGTCTGTTAGGGATCCTCTTTCTATTGCATCTGACATATCTACTATGTTCAACAAAATTCTCAAATGGTATAAGGATCAACAGTCTTCTAGTTCCACTACATTTGTCGCACACACAGGTACATATTTTGTTGGTCTGACCTAATCCTCTTCTCCTGGTCCTTGGATTTTTTATTCAGGAACCACTGATCATATTACTGGTAACAAATCTTTGTTCTCCTCTTTATCCTTTCCTAATCCTTTACCTTCTGTTACACTGGTCGATGGCTCTAGAGTATCATCTCATGGTATTGGAACTGTTAAACTTTTCCCTTCTTTAACCATTGATAATGTTCTTCATGTCCCTGGGTCTCCTTTTAACCTGTTGTCCATCAGTCGTCTAACTCGTTTTCTTGATTGTGTTGTTTCTTTTACCAACAATTCTGTGTAGTTACAGGATCAGAATTCGAAATAGGTGATTGTCACATGATATGAGTCTCATGGTCTTTATTATCTCCGTCCCTCTACACATTTTGGTGCAATTATGGAGTCTCCCTCTCTTCTTCATGCTTAGTTAGGTCATCCAAGTCTTGTCAAGTTACAGAAGTTTGTCCCTGTCTTGTCCAACTTGTCTAGTTTGGTTGTGAGTCATGTTAATTAGGAAAGCATAGTCGTACTTCTTTTCTTCGTAGTGTCACATGTGGTGCTTCGTCCCTTTTTGTCGTGGTTCACTCTAACATTTGGGGACCTAGCCGCGTTAAGTCTATTTTAGGTTTTCAATACTTTGTTACTTTCATTGATGATTATTGCAGATGCACTTGGTTATTTTTTATGAAAAATCGTTCTAAATTATTTCATATCTTTCAAACTTTTTTTAATGAAATTCAAACTCAGTTCGGTGTTTCTATTAGAGTTTTGCGTAGTGATAATGATCATGAATATCTTTCTCATTCTTTTAAGCAATTCATGGCTTCTCACGGTATTTTACATCAAATTTCGTATGCTTATACACCTCAATAAAATGGTGTAGTTTAACGTAAAAATAGATATCTTATTAAAACAACTTGCACTCTTTTAATTCATGGAGAGGTTCCTCAACATTTTTAGGGTGATGTTCTTCTTACTGCATGTTATCTCGTTAATCGCATGTCTTCTTCGGTTTTAGATAATAAAATACTTCATTCCATTTTATTCTCTCATGAACCACTTCATCCCTTACCTCTGAGAGTTTTCGAGTCTAAATGTTTTGTTCATAATTTCAGTTCTGGTCTTGACAAGTTTTCTCCTAGATCACATAAATGTGTTTTCTTAGGGTTTACAAGATCACAAAAATGATACAAATGTTGTTCAACTTCTTTTAACCGTTATTTTGTGTCTGCAGATGTCACTTTTGATGAGTTATCTCTTTATTTTAAAAGTCAATCTTCACCTTTGTCTCCATCCAATCATGTCAACACTCCTAGTACATTTAATATTCCTGTTATTTGTGACTCTCTAACTGTGTCTTCTTCACCATTAGTTCCTGTTACGCAGTTAGCTTCTTCTCCACCGCCTCTTCAAGTTTATAGTTGCCGAAACTAATCATAACCACCACATGTGACTCCACTCAAGTGCCAACTACTCTGTCTCCTTCAGATCTGACACATGAGTCTGACCTTCCCATTGCCCTCCGAAAAGGTATTCGTTCTACACGTAATCTCTCTCCCCATTATATTGTTTTGAGTTATCATCGACTGTCATTACCTTTTTATACATGTCTTTCCTCTATTTCTTCTGTGACCATTCCAAAAACTGTCCGTGAAACTTTAGCCCATCTTGGTTGGCGTCAGACCATGTTAGATGAACTAAGTGCTTTTCATAATAATGGATTTAGGAATTGGTCCCGTTACCGTCTAGGAAATCTGTTGTTGGTTACAGGTGGGTGTTTGCTATCAAAGTTGGACTTGATGGTACTATTGATCGCCTCAAAGCTCGTCTTGTGATCAAAGGTTATACTCAATTTTTTTGGTTGGATTATGGAGATACCTTTTCTCCCGTGGTAAAGATGACTTCTGTTCGTTTATTTATCGCCATGACCACTCTTCAACAATGACCTCTTTATCAACTGGATGTTAAAAATATTTTCCTCAATGGTAATTTGCAAGAAGAAATCTATATGGAGCAATCACCTGGGTTTGTTGCTCAAGGGGAGTCTTCTGGGATGGTATGTCGTCTTCGCAAATCTCTGAAAGTTTAGCAAGGTTGTTCAATAATTTGGTATTACTCGGTGTGAAGCAGATCATTTTGTCTTTTATCGTCACTCGAGTGCTGGATGTGTTTACTTGATAGTATATGTTGATGACATCGTTCTTACAGGTAGTGACAACTATGACATCTCTCAGTTGAAACAACATCTCTGTCACCATTTTTAGATCAAAGATCTTGGCAAACTTAGATATTTCTTGGGTATTGAGGTGGCACAGTTCAATGATGGAATTGTTATATCTCAGAGGAAGTATGTCATGGATATTTTGGAGGAAATTGGGTTGATGAGTTCAAAGTCTGTTGATACACCCATGGATCCCAATACTAAACTTCTACCAAAATGAGGGGGAGCCTATATCTGATCCTGAGCAGTATAGAAGATTGGTTGGAAAATTGAATTATCTTACAGTTACTCGTCTTACCATTTCAGTTACTCGTCTTGACATTTCCTTTGCAGTCAGTGTAGTAAGTCAATTTCCTAATTCACCATGTGAAGATCATTGGAATGTAGTCATTCGTATCTTTAAGTATATTAAAAAATTTCCTGGAAAATGATTGTTATATGGTTCTAATAACCATACAAGAGTTGTTTGCTACTCAGATGTTGATTGAGCAGAATCTCCTTCGGATAGAAGATCTACATCTGGATAGTGTCTCCATTGGTGGTAACTTGATCTCATGAAAAAGTAAGAAACAAAGTGTTGTGACAAGATCTGGTGCAGAAGCAGAATATAGAGTTATGACCTCAGCTGCTTGTGAACTTGTTTGGCTCAAGCAATTACTTAGAAAGTTACAATTTGGAGATGTCATTCAAATGACACTTGTGTGTGACAATTAGGTTGCTCTTCATATTAGTTATAATCTTGTCTTTCATGAGAGGACCAAACACATTGAGATTGACTGTCATTTCATTCGAGAAAAGATTATGTCTGGAGACATCAAGACTGAGTTTGTTAACTCAAGTGATCAATTAGCAGATATTTCCACTAAGTCTTTACAGGAACCTAGAATTGATTATATTTGTAACAAGCTTGGCTCATACGATTTGTATGCTCCATCTTGAGGGGGAGTGTTAGATATTGTTTAGATATTGTTTGATATTGTTAAAATATTGTTAGATATTGTTAACCACAATATCAAACAATATCTTCTGTTTATTTTGTTTATTTTCGGTTACTCTTTTAGTTGTACCTTTCTCTATTATAAATAGATTGTCCTATATGTGATTTATATACAAGGGAGATTAATTTCAAACCCTATTACCTCTATATTCAACATAAACCTTTCTTATTTAAGACATTGGGTGGGTTGAACATGGCCCATAGACCCAACATATGCTCCAATGACCATTTGGGCATATCAGAGAGAATAGTAGTTTTGAACTTTTGATAACTATCCATCCATGGAATAGTGATTTCAATCATATGTTTTCTCCTTTGCTTCATGTGTTTGTTTTAACCCTTGAAACTGATTATGAGCTCGTTTGTTTAAGCTTTTTCATCAGGATTAACTTTTTTTAAAAGATAATCACTTTTTTTTTATTTGCTATGTGTTGGCTACGAATTTTCAAAGTAATCAGAAATTTTATTGAAATCAGACAATATTTAAAACAACTTCACATAAAATCAATTATTTATTTTTAATTTTTTTTATTGTAAGAAAACATAAATTAACTTCAGCCTTTTATAAAATCTCTAAAAATAAATTAATCAATAAATTATTATAGATCAGAATCACTTATTTTTTAATCTTAAACAAACTGGCTCTATATTGGTTTTATCATAATCGTTGTGTGTGTTTGTATCTATGGCCGTATTATATGACGTTACTTTTAATCAGTCAATACTGTAATTTATGGTGGATTATTTTGAATTTTGATAGTGGCTTGAGTAATTTGTAGTTGATTATAAGTCATGGTAGGTTAGTTGCTCCCTGTCATCCTTGGATCTCCAACATCTGCATTGTTCTTTATTTCAGAATTATCTATTTGTGAATGGTTAAAAATATTCTTTGAATCTGTATATTGGTTTTATTTCTGAACTACTAAATAATTTAGTTACAAAATAGGAGTTGTTGCAAATTGGTTTAAACTTTAAGCTTGAAATTTAGATTGGCTTTGGGCCTTGGATCTGGATCAATTACTCACCGAAGTTCAAGCTTCAGTTTATCTTTTAATTTTGAATGAAATTATACTGCCATCTTTGATTTACTCATTATTTTCTATGCAAGTGTTTCCTTGAGGAAAGTCGTCAGTTAATGCGGTTGCCACCACGCCAGTCAACAGCTGAAGCTGATCTGACAGTCCCATTTCAGCTGGTATGTTGACCTTATGACTTGAATGGTTTTTTGGCTTAATGCCATTCACCTGCTGGTTACATCAACGTGTTCATATTTTTAGATGCATTAACAAAGCTTAATAGCAATTCCATTGAAATGCAGGCTGCATTAAAAACTATTGGTGAAGAAGACAAATATTTCTCTAAAGTGTCCTTGCGGTTAGGACCCAAATTCATTATTTTTCGTTCCCTGAAATGAATACTTCATGCTGAGCTGATTGAACACTGTGTCCTGAAATGCTCTCTTCTCTTTTAGGATGCCATCTTTTGGAATCACAGTTAAACCTTCCCTAATAGATTTACCAAAGCCAACCTCTTCTGTAGATGGTAGTGCTGGTGCTTCACTTTCAAATGCTTTATCAGAAGTGTCAGTAGATGGTTGGGATGGTATTGCACTTGAGTATTCTGTTGATTGGCCTTTGCATTTGTTCTTTACACAAGAAGTCCTCTCTAAGTAAGTTACTACTGCTAATGTCCCGCAGCCAGGGGTTGATTCTTTTCTCTTGCTATTTATTTTAGATATATACTAACTGGAAACCCTTTATGATATAAAACTTCTTAAAATGTGTCATGGCTTCGTATACCAAGTGTGCAAGATATAAAATGTACAGTATGAGAAGGGCCATTGGTTTAAGAGATATTGTTTGACCACTGGTTTTCTTTTATTATGAACAAATGGGGACCATTGAATACTCTAGCTTAAATGGTCAAGATTGAAAAAGTGTTTATAAAAGTCACCTGACTTTATATTTAAATCTTGACATTTAATATTCAATAATACAATGCTTTGATATTATGTTCTTGTTTGGATAAACGTCTTCATGACCACTTATAGAAGAAGAAAATAGAAAAAATGAATCAAACTTCTTCCAAAAGTTAAAATAAACTCATTTTCATCATCTTTTAGAGAAGTTACATGAGAACTTTTATAAAAGTTGAAGGGCACAAGTGAAGTTTAACTTATGGAGAAACTTAGTTAATTTTAGCTTCATTTTTTTTAAAGTACTTATGAAGAAGTTTAATCAAATAGGGCCTACATATCTTAAATCAACCATCACGTTATTTCTGCACAATGGTCAGTAACTTTTCTGCACAATTAACACTTTTAACAGGTACCTCAGAATATTCCAATACTTACTGCGGCTCAAACGAACACAAATGGAGTTGGAGAAACTATGGGCATCTGTAATGCACCAATATCATAGTGATTTTCCCAAACACCGAAATGATCAAGAGAAGTGCACAAAAACACAGCAGAAGCAACAGAAATTTCGACCAATGTGGCGTGTTAGAGAACATATGGCATTCTTGATCAGAAATCTCCAATTTTATATTCAGGTTGTCATTCGAATCTTATCTTTGATGTTAAATTTATTCTATTATTGCTAGTATAAATTTTATTTGAACTTTGAAGTCATTGTGGGATTGATACACTAGTCCAGCACTTGGATATAGTTGTTTAGATTCACGCACTTGGGTGAAATATGCTGAATATTCTAACAAAAAGTCACTTGAACATGTAAAATAAGTGTATTACAAAGCATTCTCAGTTAATTAGGCAAATAAATTATACTGTCAATGTAACAACCAAAATGTCTGTTGTCCTACAAACATAGAGAAGCTAGTTTATAAACTATATAATGGGAGATTCATATCTTGTTCAAGCTTGTTGAGAGTCTACCAAGAAGCGTGAGAGAGACTGATAACAATCTTGGGGAGTACTACACCCCAAAAGCTTAGCCAAACTAGACATCATAGATGGAGATTCCAAGATCTTTAAATTAGAATCCAATTCTCAAGTCCCATACCTCTCAATTGAATTGGATCCTAAAATCCGATCCCGCTTGATAGATTTTGTCCAAAACCAGAACAGAAAGATATCAACAGACTTTGCTCTATCAAGAATCAATTTGTTCTTGATACAACAATATTATTGAAAGAAAATGACAATATAATATGAAGAAGTACACCAAACACCAAAGAGATAAGAAAAGAGAGTCCACACACTGATCTCTATGTTCAGTCCCCCGATCTCCAATCGATCAACTTTCCTACTAGCTTTCTCCCCCCTAACAAACTATATAAAAGTTGACTTTATAAGGAATTAGTTAGTTAGTTAGTTTTTTTTTAACTAACTATGCCAGCTTGGCCTTCCTCACATAAACATGTGTAATAGGGGGTTTGCCCCTGACGTCCTTATCAATACTCCCCCCTAAAAGAGCCACCTTGTCCTCAAGGGGAAATTGAGGAAAGGTATCCTGAATAGAGGCTGCGGATTCCCAAGAATTCTCAAAAGCTGGCAATTTGTCCCATTGCACTAATACCTCCAAATTACCCATCTTGTCCTCTCGACATTGTAATACCTCCTTAGGCTGCACTTGCAACTCCAATTCTTCTATCAAAGTTGGAGGTAAAGGTTGTTGTTGCTAATGAGGCTTAAGAACCTTCTTTAAAAGAGAAACATGGAAGACTGGATGAACTCGCACTGATAAGGAAGCTTCAATTTGTAAGCGACCTCACCAATTCTCTCCACCACTTGATAAGAGCCATAGAACCTTGCTGATAACTTTGCAAAGGGTCGATTAGCTAAAGATCTCAATTTATAAGGTTGAAGTTTCAAATACACCCAATCTCCTACTACAAACGTCACTTCTCTTCGGTGTTTATTGGCTTGAACTCTCATTCTGTTTTGTGCTTTCAACAAATTCTCGCGCAACTCTGCCAAAATATCATCTCTTTAATTGAGGAGTTTGTTGACTTCCTCAATTTTTGAAGGAAATGCACCAACTTTAATGAGTATGAGAGGATCCCTTCCATATAAGGCTTTAAATGGAGACATTTGTGCCGACATATTAAAGTTAGTGTTGAACCAAAATTCAGCCCAAGCTAGCCAATCAACCCACTATGTAGGCTTAGGACCCGCAAAACACCTCAAATAAGTCTCCAAACTTCTGTTAACAACCTCAGTTTGACCATCGGTCTGAGGGTGATATGTAGTGCTACACTTTAGCTTAGTGCCAGCCAATTTTAACAATTCATGCCAAAACGAACTAAGGAAGATTGGATCCCTATTAGAGACAATCGAAGCAGGAAACCCATGCAGTCGTACCACTTCCTGGATGAAAACTCCAGCTACATCTTTTAATGTATAAGGATGACTAAGAGGAATAAAATGGGCATATTTGGTTAGCCGATCCACAACTACCAAAATAGTGTCCTTCCCCTTGGATTTGGGTAATCCACTAATGAAATCCATGGCAATATCTCGCCAAACCTGAGTTGGTATGGGTAGAGGTTGTAATAAGCCACCTGGAGCTAAAGTGGAATATTTATATCTCTGGCATGTTTCACACTTCTCTACATATTCCTTGATACAACTCTTCATCCCTTCCCAATAGAAGTAAGTAGATACCCGTTTATAAGTTTGAAAGAAAGCCGAATGACTCCCATTAGCATTATCATGACATTCATGTAATATCATGGGAATACGATTGGAATTTTTATGAAGCACCATTCTCCCTTTATGAAGTAATCTGCCAGCTTTATACTCAAAGTTAGGATGACTTCCTGGTGTTGTCATGACATTCTGAATGATATGACTCCACTTGGGATCATGTTGTAGTTCTTGCCCCCAATCTTCAATATCCCCTTCCATTATTAAAGATAGCACCGAATACATCTCCCTTCTAGATAAAGCATCAGCCACTGAATTCTCCTTTCTCGGTTTGAATTGGATCTCAAAATCCAATCCTATCAATTTTACTGCCCATTTAAACTGCTCCTCACTAAACAGCCTTTGCTCATTGAGAAATTTCAAACTTCGTTGACCAGTACGGATGATGAAGTGTCTTCCCATCAGATAATGTTTCCATTTCTATACTGCTTGAACAAGTGTCATCAATTCTCTTTCATAAACTGACTTTTGTTGAGCCCTGATCGACAAACCCTTGCTCCAATATGCTAATGGTCTACCTGACTGCATCAATACTGCTCCTAACCCTTTGCTGGAAGCATCAGTCTCCAACACAAATTCCTTGTTGAAATCAAGAACTGCTAATAAAGGTAGTTCTGCCATAACAGTCTTCAACTGCTCAAAAGCCTCTGTTGCTATTTCACTCCAATGGAAATTATCTTTCTTGAGCAAATCTATTAAAGGTTTAGCAATTTTACCATAGCCCTCCACAAATCTCCTATAATAGCCTGTCAAGCCTAAAAAACCCCCTGAGACCTTTAATGTTTTTAGGTAAAGGCCAAGTACGAATGGCTTCCACCTTAGAGTTATCTGCTGCAACCCCTTCTCCCGAAATAACATGACCCAGGTATTCTAATTTTGGTTGAGCAAAAGTGCATTTCTTCTTATTGGCCTTCAATTTATTAATAGCCAACACTTCCAGTATTTGATGTAAGTTATCCCTGTTAGCTGTTAAATCCCTGCTATACACCAAAATATCATCAAAGAAAACTAATGCAAACTTCCTCAAAAAAGGCCTTAAGACTTCATTCATCAAGGCTTGAAAAGTAGAAGGAGCATTAGTAAGCCCAAAAGGCATTATTACAAATTCATAATGGCCCTCATGAGTTCTGAAAGTTGTCTTCTCAATGTCTCCCTCTTTCATTCTGATTTAGTGGTAGCCTGATTTCAAGTCCAGTTTCGTAAAAATGGTAGCCCCACCTATTTCATCCAATAATTCTTCAATAATCGGATAGGAAATTTATTGGGAATTGAAATTTTATTCAGGGCTCGATAATCTATACAAAATCTCCACCCCCCATCCTTCTTCTTGACCAAAATAATCGGACTTGAGTAGGGGCTAATACTATGCCTTATTACTCCTGCCGCTAACATCTAAGTCATTAACCTTTTGATCTTGGACTTCTAGTAATGTGGGTACTTGTATGGCCTTAAATTCGGAATCTCAGCCCCCTCTACTAGATGTATAGCATGATCATGTCTGCAATTGGGTGGAAGACCCTGCGGATCCTGAAAATCCTCTGAGTTTTCAACTAGTATTGCTTGGATCTCCTCGGGAATCTGAATTTGAGCTTGATTATGATCTTGGACAATAGTACTTTGGAGAAACAATCCTCCACCTTCAACCTTTAGTACTTGTAATAATGCTCCATAAGATAATTCCGTTCGTGTTAATGATGGATTCCCAATAATGCAATGCATTCTGTTACCCTTTTTCAACAACAACTCAAGCTTATCGAAATCAGCTTTGATCTCCCCTAAAGTAGCCAACCAATCTAGTCCCAAGACAATGTCCACCTCTTTCAATTCAAACAAATAAAAGTCTTGAATCACCTCTAGACCCTGCATTTCTAGCATCAACTTAGCACATTTTCCGTGACATTTCACCTTATGTCCGTCACCCATTTCTACTGTGTAAGCAGGGGTTCCCACTATTTCTAATTGCAAGTGCTGTACCAAATCCTTAGCAATGAAATTATGTGAAGCCCCACAATCAATCAAAATCAATACTGTTTTGCCTCTGATTTTTCCCTCCATCTTCCAAGATCTCGTAGAGGTCAAACCCGCCATGGAGCACAAGGACAACTAGATCGAATTAAACTTCTCTTCACTGACTTCCATCCCAGCTTTTTCCTCCTCATCTTTCTCTTCTTCCAGAATAATCATTCTCAACTGTTTATTCTTGCACCTATGGTCTCTGTGGTATGGCTCATCACAACGGAAACATAGCCCTTTTTCTCTTTTATCCCTCATTTCAGCACCCGTCAAATGTTTGAATTCTCCCCCTCTACTCTTCAAGCTCTCCATAGTGCTCAAACTTCCCGACATGCTTCTTCCGGAATGCTCTCTAGTATTCCTATCATTCAATATTTTCGAATCCACTATTACCACTCTATTAGTCGTAGCGTTTCAGTACAAACTAGGGGATCTACTATATTGCACCCCCGGTCTTCTTGATAACACCATATTTTTTTGCTCAATCATAATGGCTTTTTGTATCACCTCTGATAATGTTTTTAATTCATACAATCACACCTCCACTTGAATTTCTTCTTTCAACCATTAAGAAAAATCCCTTTCACAAACTCATGGTCAATTTCCTTCAATGTCCCTACGTACTTTTCAAACTATTCGGCATATTCCTTCATAGACGTTGATTGTTTAAGCGACAGTAACAATTCAAATGGATTTTGAACCATTGACGGTTGAAATCGTCTCACCACAGCTAGCATAAAACCTTCCCAATGACTATCTGGATTGCACCGCTCCCACCACTGAAACCAACTAAGAGCCTTCCCTTCCAAAGCCACCATGGTTGCCTTCATCCGCTTTGCTTCCTTCACGCCTTTAAGCTGAAAATAACGTTCCAGCTTTTGCGTCCAACCGTATGCAACTTCTCCATGGAAAATAGGAATCTCCAAACGCCTCCATTGTTCAAGTTGTCGATCGTCAAATTCTTCTCTGTCTACACTTTCCTCGCTCCGTTCTCCGTCGCCGACGCCACTTCCCTGAATTCCGAGTTTGGTAGCGATCACGACCATAAGATTCTCGGTTTTCTTCATCCTTGCTTCATTCAGTTCCACATGAGCATGAAGCTCTTCTCGTTCAATCTCCCATTCCTCCATTGTCTCGTCATACTTCTTGTCCTCATACAACGCTTCGATTCGAATTCCTTAGGCACCAAGGTCAGTGCTCTTACCCCAGTTGATAGATTTTGTCCAAAACCAGAATAGAAAGATATCAACAGACTTTGCTCTATCAAGAATCAATTTGTTCTTGATACAACAATATTATTGAAAGAAAATGACAATACAATATGAAGAAGTACACCAAACACCAAAGAGATAAGAAAAGAGAGTCCACACACTGATCCCTATGTTCAGTCCCCAATCTCCAATCGATCAACTTTCCTACTAGCTTTCTCCCCCCTAACAAACTATATAAAGCTGACTTTAGAAGGAATTAGTTAGTTAGTTAGTTTTTTATTTTTTAACTAACTATGCCAACTTGGCCCTCCTCACATAAACACGTGTAATAGGGGGTTTGCCCCTGATGTCCTTATCACCGCTTTGTAGCCTTGTTCCCATAAGAGTTGACTATGTACTAGCTCTTTGACTAGTATAGTCCTGGACAAACACTGCAATGCCATGTCATCACTTGTTTGCTGTTGAGAGACATGGTGGAAAGCTTTGATATAAATTGATAAAAACTTTCGCAGAACCACACCACAAAAGCTAGTCAAGCCAGCATTAAATCCCATACTTTTAATGTGAGACTCGAGTTCTGTCCTGGGCAATTGGATTCTAATAGAGAAATGTCGTTTGTTTTAGTGGAGCACAATTTTAATTTCTAGAAGTGGAATTGGTAATCTTTTAGGGTGTCATTTAAGAATTAGGAATGGACTAGGCTTGTTTTTTTGTGATTCCATGAAATTACCATAAAAGTATATTGTTCTAATTTTAAAAAGGCTTCCACTAGCAAAAATTAGAATTTACAGGCTCAATTCTAATTCCAATCTTCAATTTCATGCTCAAAAAAATAAATGTCAAATATGTACTTAGTGTATATTATTATTATCAGCAAAAAATTTCAACGTGTGTTTGGTTTGAGCCAAAGAAGCACACTGATGCAGAGGTGGAATTAAGGGGGGCACACAAAAAAGTTAATTTTTTTATATGTAATAATTATTTTTAAAATTAAATAAAAATGATTTTATAAATATATTTAAAATTAAACTTTTTTATCTTTTTCTTTCTCAATTTTTCATTTGTAATAAATATCATGTTTATTCTCTTATATAATTTTTCACTTACACTTTTTCTCTTTCTTCCTTCCTTCTATCTTTAGATTTTTATCTCTTTTTCTCCCATCTTTTCACTTTCTCACTTCAACTCTTTGTATAAGAGACTCACTTTGCCTTTTCACATTTCTATTTTTTTCTTTACTACTCGGTCATTTTCATATTCTTCTCTTATTTATGGTTTCACCTAACAAAATTTGTAAGTTTTTCTAGTTTTCATATATTTCCTTTTTACAGTTTCATCTTTACAGTATAAAAGTTGTAACTTATTATTTTTTAGTTTTTTTTTCTGTTCAAATAAAAGAGATATGTCACAATAATTTTCTTGAAATAAAGAAACATTAAACAAATTTATTTTCTTTATTATTTTCGTTTATTATTATAACAAATTAGCATGTGTAGTGTAGTATAAAAATATGAAATATTAATATTATTTTTTATTAATTAATTAGTTATTTTAATGTTTTATGATATTTTATTTTAATGTTAAAATGTGAACACAAAAAAATAAAATACAAGGGTGAGTTTTAAAGATGTCTAAAAAGAAAATTATAAACTCATTTTCAAGAGAAAAGAGGTGATAGATGAAGAAATAAACACTAGTTTTCAAAATTTAAATTCAATTAGTAATGTTGAATATACGGTTAAATGTTTTATACAATATATTTATTTTTATATTATGATTAATTTTTATATGTTGATCCCCCATCTAAAATTCCTGGCTCCACTTAGAGATGACAATTAGACCTCTAATCGTAAGTACCGATCCAGTCCACGCTTCGAGGTTGACGGGAAAAACCGAGTTGATCGGGGCGAGGACGGGTTTGGGTTTTTCCCACTTTAAAAAGTCGGGGGATGGTTAATGCAGTGCCCACCTCGACCCTGTCCCAATTTTTTATTTAAATTTAAATTTTAAAATATTAATATTTTTAAAGTATTTTATTTTTCCTTTTTCATTATATCTAAGGTCATTTTTTTTATATATTTCACCATTTTTACTTTTTTTTTCTATCCACTTTTTCATTCTTTTGTCTTTTTTAATCTTTATATCAATTAGTTCATTATATTATTCTTTTTCTCTTACCTTTTACTTATTCACATCTCCTTAATCTCTTCAATCAATTTGGTTTTTTCAATCTTTTCAACTAATTTGACGAATACAAAACTAATTTTTCTTCTTTTTTATGTTTTTCTAAATATTTTACATCAATATTAGTAGTAACTAATATTATTTTATTTATAATTTATCTTTATTAGATTTTATTATGTCTCATTTTTTTGGATCTTATTATTCTTATTTGTCATCTATCAAATTTTATCATAATAAAACAATTGTATTTTAAAGGATTAAAAATAATTTATAATTAAAACTTTTATTACTTTGAACTAATTAAATAAAAATTAACTTATTAAATATTTTCTTATAGACCATATATTTTATATTATCAAATGATAACTTAAAAAAATTTAACTTATATATGTAATTAAATGTTTGAATATATTATTATTATTATTATTATTATTATTATTATTGTAATAATAATAATAATAATGTTATAAGCATTTTATATCCTTATAAAAAATTGATTAAATGTTTCATTTACTTACATATTTTAATATAAATAAATAAATTAAAATATATATTTAATTAATAATAATTACAAATTGTAAAATTATAAATATTAATTTATGTATAAAAAATATTAAAATTAATTTATTATAAGTATAATTATTTTTTTAGAAATAATATAGATTGGAAACGGTGTGAGGGCGAAGAAACCCGAAACTTAATGGGAATGGGAATGATTTAATTTCTAATATCGGCAAGGATCGGGACAGGGGTTGGGTTGGGGAGGCAAAACCCATCCCTGTTCCGCCCCATTGCCATGCCTAGCTCCACCCCAGCCCTGATGGTATCCTAATTACAATTTTCTTACTCTTACTGTACCTTTTTTACAACAAAATGACTGTTTCACATCTAAAATTGTGCTTTCCTTTGGCAGGTTGATGTGATAGAGTCTCAGTGGAATATTTTACAATCTCATATTCAAGAGTCTCATGATTTTACAGAACTTGTCGGCTTTCATCAAGAGTAATATAACTTTTGTATTTCTTGCTTGTAGTTTTTAGTTTTTAATTTTATGGTGGTGTAAAATCAACAACACTTGGTGGCCATTGATTCAGTATGCCAACTTTTATCCTATTGCTGTCACCTACAGGGATCATATTTTACTTATGGTCAAACATAACTTCAGTTTTTTATTTTGCTGATGTTGAGTATGGATTGTAACAGCAGATTTAACCTGAACTAGTGGTTTAATGAGAAATAGGGACATGGTTAACGTGCACTTTATTCTCTTTGAAAGCATGTGTCAGGTGCCTCAACTTTTAAACTGTTATTGCTTTATGAATGATAAACTTACTACTGTGCTTTGTTGTGTTCCTTCTGGTGGCTATTTTTACCTAAATATTTTATGAATGATAAACTTACCTAAATACTATCTGACTTTAATGTCTCCTACAGGTATCTGTCAGCCTTGATTTCACAAACTTTCTTGGACATTGGTTCTGTGTCGAGGATACTGGATAGTATCATGAAGCTTTGTCTGCAATTTTGCTGGAATATTGAGAACCAAGATAACTGTTCAAATACTTCTGAACTTGAACATATAGCTGAGGTGATATGCATTGTTGGTTTTGTTCGCCAAATAATTATACAGGAATAAGTATCTCAATAAAGCCATTAATGTTCTCATAAAGCTTCATATATTAAAGGCTCAATTATCTGAGCATTTTTAATTAAGAGAAAAAAATATACTAATTTATGATCATCTTATTCAATCTGTTATGTGAATGCCTTATTCACGCAGTGTAATATTTTGATATAATTTGAATAACAGAATTATACTCTTGTGTTTGCATATAATATAATTCATAATGATCTAATAATCAATAATTATGATGATACATATGTTAATTTTGTAGTTGTACCTCTTAGATCTACCATAAGAGAGGCTAATCTGGGTTTGAGGAACTTCAGAATTGAATTCTATACAATGTTAATTATCAACTCTTGAACCTGTCTGTTTCCCTCGAACCACCTTTTTAATGGAAGGTGGCAGAAATTTATATGGGAATATCCGCTTGAGACCTTCTCTCTCATTTGTCAGTTATTTTCAAATGTATACTGTCAAAAATTGAACGTTATCTCTTCACTTAGACTTATTCATAGAAATTTACTCTACCTGGTGCTAAATTGTTAAGGCAGATTTGCATTTAAATACAATACAAAAATTATTGTTTGACAACCCAAACAACCTATAGAAGTTATTTTGGGTTGTCTATTAGTTCTCAATCAATCACTGCCCAGATATATATGTAATTAATAAAGTCACATCCATTTTTCCTCCCTGTTTCACTTGATTAAGCCTTTCCAAATTACTGGTTTCATTTCTATATTTTAGATTAGATCTCCATCCTTTACTGAAACCTATCGTTTTGACTGTTTATTCATTTTTTGTTCTCTAACCTAACATGTATAGGAATTCAACAAGAAATCAAATTCCTTGTATACTATACTGCGCAGCAGCAGACTTGCTGGAAGTCAGCGAGCCCCGTTTTTGAGACGGTTTCTCTTGCGCTTAAATCTGAATTCCTTCTTTGAGGTAAAATAAACAGATAGATACTTAGTCTGACTGTTTAGATCAATGTTTCTTATTGCTTGTTATTTTGTCAATTAACAGGCCACTGCAAGGGGGGTTCTGAATGTTGTCAGGCCACGCCCTACAATTCCTGCTCTAAACCAACAATAGTATCAATATCATTCCACAACAACTCCAAAGTTTCTCCCTTGGGCTATTTGGCATGTGAGCTTCAATTGAGTAACAGATTTTAATGTTGACATTCATTCAAGTTGCCATTTCTGTTTGGCCATCCTGCAACTGTCCTCAGAAGGTCAGTTCAACATTCCACTTGCTATTTTGAAAATGTGGTTCTTGATCCTAGATGATTTTGTTGATTTTAATTTATGCTCGGGCCAGTTTGGAAGGTGGTTCGTGCTTGTGCTATTTGGTGGCTTGATAGATGGCTGTTGGATTTTGTAGATGTGAGCAGTGATATTTGTGTTTAGTACAATTGGTTTTTAATATTATTACTACATAGTTATTCCCGCTGGTTTTTGTTTTTGGAAAGTCGACACGCCGTCCGAAACACTTTTTATAATCTGAGTTTTGCCTAAATGTATTGTATCCCCCAACTCTGCTTTATATCAGGTGATTCGAACGGAATATGATACAATAAACCATTTATGTCATTCCACTATGCAGAAAGGACATTAATTTTTTACAAAACTCATGCATAAAGTATCACAATAATCTGTTCAAAGATGTCTATAACCAAGCTTCTCAGTACTATTTTGTATACCCTTTCTAAGGATGTCGCATACCATAGCTGCAGTTGGCCAGTAAAGTCTGTATGGTCGCATGTCTATGCTATCATTCCACAGAATTAATTGCACCATGAAGAAGATACGAGCAAGCTATATGTTAATTAATAAAGGAAGAGCAGCTAAAATTTCTATCACACTAACACGCAATGCAGGTCAACAGCGGTGCAGATCATCCTTCGGTAGGTACAGAAAAGCAGCACACGGGTCAGTTAATAGGCCTCTGGACTATGTACTGATACTTTATTGAGTAAGACCCATGTTGTTCTTATCTCAACAAACCAATAAACAAATCAGAGAACGTGGAGCATTAAAAGGTGTCACTATATTTTCAAAAAGACAAGCTAAAACCGTTTCGTTTGTACTGCGGAATATAGGTTTCCTGCAGAATGTGGCTCACGAAATACGCTCTTGAAGTTGCTCTGTATCTCGGTAACATGTTGACATTGAACAAAACCTTATTAAGCATTGGTAATTCTATTTGGCCCCTCCCATTCCTTCTGAAAAAAAAAAAACATTTAACTTTCACTTTTTAGGGCTTTTAGCCCCTCTTTTTTGAAGCTTACTCTTTTCATCTGTGGCTTAGAAACTTGAGCTCGACCAGTGTTTGTTTGCATGCAAGTGTAACTTTGTATGAGCAATCCTTTTTCCTCCAGGATAGCAGGAACACTTGCAGTGGCTATTCAACCGACATATTTTCATTATATTTTAATAATTAAGAGCATTGATGAAAATAGTCTCAGAAAAAAATATATAAAGTTGTTATGATTAAAGGTTGAAAAAAAAAGTAATAATGCTTGTTTTACACCCTTTTTATTAAATGGAAGGTGAATCGAAAGAAAAGAAAGACGAAACTTAGAAAAATACAATGAATTGTGTATGAGAGGAAAAAAATATAAAATAAATAAATAAGTGTGAAGAAAAATAGTAAATAAAATTATTGTACTAATCTTGTGATGAGAAATATCAATTATCATCCATTATTACATTAAGACCAAGATTTCTTTTGCTTTTTTAACTTATTCTGCACCCAATACACCTTTATTTTTTTTCATATTTTGTATGAATTTTGCTAGTATTAAATTAAAATCGAAAAACAATTAAGAATGTAATTCCACGTTTGTTGGTGAGGAGAAATTTGACCATGAATTTCAAACTTTCTGTATTATACATGACGGGTGCGAGTCATCTCATCTTCAACAAAATTTCGCTTTCGCAAAAAATTGATAACTCCTTATAACAATTGCAAAATGCAATCAAAATTGTCTTTTAATCTTTCCAATCAAAACCCCATTTAAATTGTAACAAAAAAAAACCTCATTTAAATAAACTAGAAAATCCAAATTCATTCAAACTTCTATTCTATTTTTCTTTTCATTGTGTTACATTATTCATAGCAACTACCATTTTTATTTACTTTTTCTGTTTATCTATTTTTTTCTTTTTCATTCTAAACATACACTTAAAAAATAGGTTTACGATTTGAACATTTTTCAAAAGAAAAGCATCAACAGAGAAAAGGTAGATAATGGAACAAAAATTGGAGAATGGAAAGATGAAGAAGAAAAAGGGTTAGGTGGAGAGTGTAGGTGGCTGGCCCCCAAGTTATGAAATAACAAAGACCACATCAATGCAGAGGTAGATGAGATGAGCCATCTACAAAATTAGTCCCAAATAACCAGTAGAACACACAAAATAAATTAGTTTTGACAATTTTAAAAGCTAATACATACTTTCATGCATAAAATTGATTAATAATGTATTTGCATAAAAAAATATTAAGAGAGGAAAAATACATGAAAAGGTATGATAATGGTACAATCCAAGGCACAGTGAGTGAGAGAGGAAGAAGCTACCACCAACCAACAATAGAAAGCAGAGGTAGGCAGCAGATAAGCCACCACAACACAACATAACTTACACTATCAAACACATTCAACCCAACACCTTTAGGTTATCTTCACTCTCCCAAAATGGATTCAACGCACCAAATGGATACAGAGAAAGAGGAACAGAGACAGAAGACACCACTCTCCCCAGAACCACCTTTTGCAGTGGCCTCACTCTCCCTCTCTCTGCCCAACGTTTTCCCCTTTGTCCAACCCAAGATTCCAACAACCCCTCAACCTAACAAGGTCAAGGTTCCAACCCAAGCTTCATCCCTTACCCACCTTTCTCTCTCAACCGCTTCCCTCACTCCTTCCAAGACCTCCTTCAAATCCTCCCTCTCCGCCACCCCTTTCCACGCCCCTCTCTCCCTTGGCCCCCACCGCCCCCGCGACCCCTCCAATGCCACCGCGCTCCGCCGCGCCGCCGTTGTCTGGTTCCGCAACGATCTCCGGGTCCTCGACAACGAGTGCCTCGCCTCCGCCAACAACGAATCCCTCTCTGTCCTCCCCGTTTACTGCTTCGACCCCGCCGACTATGGCAAGTCCGCCTCCGGTTTCGACAAGACCGGCCCCTACCGCGCGGCTTTCCTCATTGAGTCTGTCGCTGACCTGCGGCGGAACCTCCAGGCGCGCGGCTCCGATCTGGTGGTGCGAGTCGGGAAGCCCGAGACCGTGCTGGTGGAGCTGGCGAAGGCCGTCGGGGCCGACGCGGTGTACGCGCACCGGGAGGTTTCGCACGACGAGGTTAAGACGGAGGAGAGAGTGGAGGCGGCCCTGAAGGAGGAGAATGTGGAGGTGAAGTACTTCTGGGGAAGCACTTTGTATCATGTGGAGGATTTGCCTTTTAAGCTTGAGGATATGCCTTCCAATTACGGAGGGTTTAGGGATAGGGTTCAAAAATTGGAGATTAGGAAGACAATTGAGGCTTTGGATCAGCTTAAGGGAATACCTTCTCGCGGAGATGTTGAGATTGGTGATATTCCTTCCTTGATGGACCTTGGCCTTAATCCATCTTCCACAATACCACAGGTTTGTTTTTCGCTGTTCATGCATATTGTTTTCAAGTGTTATCATCAATGATCTAAATTGGTTGTTATCATTGTGCAGGATGGGAAGTCTGGTGCTAATGCTTCCATGGTAGGAGGGGAGACTGAGGCACTGCAGAGGCTGAAAAAATTTGCGGCTGAGTGTGAAGCTCAGCCACACAAGGGGTATAAGGATGGAACTCACAGTATATATGGTGCCAACTTCTCCTGCAAAATTTCTCCATGGTTGGCAATGGGATGTCTCTCCCCTCGCATAATGTATGAAGAACTAAAGAAGACTGCCAGCAGGTGTGTGGTTCTTTATGTTCTTCTGTTTAAGGGTATTTTTTTTGTATGACTAGGGTGTTTACTCACTTGTGAGTTGTGTTACGGCAGAGCCATTTCTGCATCCTCGAACCGGAATGATGGTGGTAATGGCTCGTCCAAAACTGGAACAAATTGGTTGATGTTTGAGCTGCTATGGAGGGACTTCTTTAGGTAACAATGCTTTGCACGTCTTTTGACTTGGCTTGGAACTTTAGTTGCATTTTTTCTTTGCATGAGATATGTGGAAATGGCAATGGTGCTCTGGCTGGGGAATTCAACCACCGTCTCCCTCAACACAAAGTTAGGGATTTAAGATAAAAGTGGTAGATTTAAGATGAAAGGTGATTGTGTGTGTGCACAGTAAATTTTGGGTTTTTTAAAATAGGTATTGTCCCGATAGCGTTTTCAGAGTTAGCTGTGGCAAGCCACTAACCGAAACTAGTAACACTTGAAATAGAAAAAGAAAATAAAGAACTGATTTTGAGAGCCTGAAATCATCTTCTTGTGTTCTCTTATTTATAGGAGATAAAAGTACAGATTCAGAGATACAATAAATAGAGAGACATGATTAATCCTAGAGAAGATAAACAGATGCATTCTAGGAACTAGGTCTACAACTAATCTCATAAATGTCCAACAAGATACACTTAATCTAATAAATACTTCAACACTCCTCCTCAAGCTGGAGCATACAAATTGAATGTACCAAGCTTGGAACAAATGAATTCCATTCGAGGTCCTCTCAAAGATTTTGTTAATGCATCTGCAAGCTGATCATTGGAACCAACAAACTCAGTACAAATTTCTTTAGTCAACAACTTCTCCCGAATAAAATGATAGTCAATCTCAATATGCTTAGTCCTCTCATGAAATACTGGGTTGGAAGCAATGTGAAGAGCAGCTTGATTATCACAATACATCTTCATAGATTGAATCTCACAGAAGTTCAATTCTTGCAAGAATTGTTTTACCCAAACAAGTTCACAAGTAAGAGACGCCATTGCCCTATATTCAGCTTCAGCAGAGGATTGGGCAACAACGTTTTGCTTTTTGCTTTTCCATGAAATGATATTTCCTCCAAGGAAAACACAATAGCCTGTAGTGGAACGCCTATCCATAGGAGATCCAACCCAGTCAGCATCACAGTACCCAAAAATTTGGGTATTTCCCTTATCTTCATATAATAATCCTTGTCCTGGAGCTTTTTTAATGTATCTTAAGATTCGAATGATAGCATTCCAATGATCCACACAAGGAGCTTGCATAAATTGGTCGACAACACCAACTGCAAAAGACAAATCAGGTCTAGTAATCGTCAAATAAATAAGTTTCCCAACCGAGTCTTCTATATCTTTACGGGTCGGAGAAAACTTCACCTCGTCCCGCCATTAACTTAAAATTTGGATCCATAGGATCTGTCCACAGGTTTGCAATCAATCATACCTGTCTCTTTTACAATATCTAGAGCATACTTCCTTTGAGAGATGACAATACCTTCTCTTGATTGAGCTACTTCAATACCCAAGAAATATTTTAGATTTCCAAGATCCTTGGTCTGAAAATGACTACACAAGTGTTCTTTTAGCTGAGATATTTTAGCGAGCATCATTCCCTGTGATGACAATATCATCAACGTACACAATTAAATAAACATGTTTGCCAGGGCGATGTGACAAAAAACACTGAATGATGCTGCTCAGCTGCGTTTTAATCCAAAAGCTTGAACAATAGAGCTGAATTTTCCAAACCAAGCACGTGGAGACTGTTTTAGGCCATAGAGGGATCGACGTAATTTACAAACCAAACCAGACTCCCCCTGAGCAACAAATCCAGGAGGTTGCTCCATGTAAACTTCTTCTTCTAAGTCACCGTGCAAAAAAGCATTTTTAATATGTTAAGGTTGCTCTGATACCATGTTAAGGTTCCAACATAAAACCAATTGGCAATATGTGGAGTAGCCTAACATGTATTTAAACCATACCAAATGACATGAGGTAGGCGATGTGGGACTTTCAACACACCCCCTCCAACGAAGCCCGCCGGACCAGGCAAAGGGTACTTTTGACCCAACTAAAGGGCAACTTTTGGCCCATGACAATAACCGGAAAGATGTTAGGCTTTGGCTCTGATACCATCTTGAAATAGAAAAAGAAAATAAAGAACTGATTTTGAGAGCCTGAAATCATCTTCTTGTGTTCTCTTATTTATAGGAGATAAAAGTACAGATTCAGAGATACAATAAATAGAGAGACATGATTAATCCTAGAGAAGATAAACAGATGCATTCTAGGAACTAGGTCTACAACTAATCTCATAAATGTCCAACAAGATACACTTAATCTAATAAATACTTCAACAGTAACCATGCATATTATATTTCTCTCTTTTTGTTTTCAAAAGGATGGGGTTAGTACTATAACCATTTTTAAAAATTACCATTATAGCGCTGCCATAACAGCATAATGCTATAACGTGACAGTTTCCCAACCCTTCTCCATAGGCAATTTCTGAAGGGATGCCCACTTCAGCGGCACTATTGGATGCAATGGCTTGTTTAGATGGCAGAATTTTGGCCTTCTGCCATGTTTCACCATTTGCTATTTTTTACCTTGTAGTGTACACAGGAAAGTTGCAAACAACTCATCTAAAACTTTAAAGTTGTACTTTGTAGTTGTTCCTCGAAATGTGGTAAATCTCAAGAGAATGAAGCTTTCATTTTCTATATGTTCACCACAGAACACCCTTAGGTACATATATCTATCAAGGTTTTAAAACGAGGTTTCCATGACTGCAATTGTAACCACAATGTCAAGGCTTTTTAGGGTCTTTGCAATTTCAATTACAATTGCATGATATTGTAATCACTACGTTCTCATGGCTGCAATTGTAACCACAATGTGAAGGCTTTTGGTGTCTTTCCCATTGCAATTACAATTGCTGCTGCATTTGTCTGCAGTTTTCTACAACGGTATGGATCATAATGAATTTTTAGTTGTGACTGCAGTTTAAAACCTTAATATCAGCAATTTGCCTTGCATGCAGTTATCGAAAGATTTACTTATAGTAGAAATTTAAAATTAGAAAGCTTTCATTCCTCTTTCCTTGAAATGCAAGGGCCTTGTGGTTTTTGAAAAACGTAATAATTCTTATTCAAATTTCCTATTTGACCAAAAGCGATCATCAAGTTTTGCTTTTTAGATTACTGACATAATTTTTGTTCCTCCGAATATCTGTGTTGTTAGTTGTTATCATACAGAGGGATAGTATTGAAAACATGTATTGCTGTGTTATTTGTAGGCAAAACATTATTTTTGGATACTGTTTCTGGCAAGAAACATAGGTATATGTAGTATTGATTTGTGAATTTTTCATCTCGTTGATTTGTTCAGGTTTATAACAAAGAAATACAGTTCTGCAAAGAAACAACTGGAAGCTTCTCCAGCCACTGCATGTGCAGGTGCTTTTGCTTAAGCTAGAAGTGCTAGTGGACATATGAAAGTTTGTTTCTGGGTGTGGGTTGCTTCACTACGCAGATGTGGCAGTATTGATTGCCCTTCCGAAGTTTTGTTGTAACTTGCAGATACATTATTTCAGTATGGAAGTTTTACATTGTTTTGTCCATGGCAAGTTATTTTTCTTAAACTAGCATTTCGTCTGCATCGGGCATCTTTTGACTAGATCTTTGAGTCCCAAATTCATCTCTGACTTTCCCCAAAACCATATTTTTGGAGAAATTTAAAATTTAAAAATGGATGTAATGATATTTTAATAGTACCAGGATGAATTTTCCGATTTCTATTTCAGTTTTGAAGAATAAAGGAGGTGGCTAAATAAGAATCTACCAATAAATTTAATGAAAGTTGAGAGAAATTTAGCGCTATATTAATCATATGAAAGATTTCATCATTATAAAATGAGTCGACTGTGAATTAGACAAATTTAAAATAGTTTGTCTTATAGTTGGTTACTGTTTTCATGATGAATCGTCGTCCCAGGACAAGTCTAATCAAACAGTTTGATGTTAAAATTGTTTTAGGGATTTAATTTCGATATTTTGTCACGACGTCAGTCAGTCCTCGTAGAATAGGGACACAATCAGTTAGAGGGGTTGGCATGGTACACCAATTTTTGTGATGTGCCTATAGAGGGAGAACTCTATTATTTTATGAAAACATCATTTCAGTGGATAAATCATAGAAAGGTAAAACTCCAACATAAATTAAGCGTATGAAATAGATGAAAAGAAAGGAAAATACAAGTAAAAACCGAAGAGAGGTTTGACCGTTGTTCACCAGCCAGACGAAGTTTGATTGTGGAAACATAATGCACCAGAGGTTATTTCTCGGCTCCATACAATAAATTAAAGTGTCTAAAAATATTTCCTATATATAATTCTAAATGAATCCGGAAACCTTGAGTGAAGATAGTACAACAAAAATAATCCACAACAACATGAAAAAGGCACAGGTAACCCATGCCCAGAGCCTAGGCCCTCCAAGTTCTGCGCCAAAAATTTTACGCCTGAAAACCAAAACTGATATACACCCAACGGAAGTGGAGAAGAAAACAATCAGCGAAAAGCTTAGATCCTCTGCATTTTGGATCTGAAGAGGTTCTCCATATGCTATGAAGTTGTACAAAGTATCAATGAGCCATGGAACACCAATTCCAACATATATATTCACCGAATTGCTGCCAAAAGAATAAATAACGAGTGAATAACCAACTTCAGTAACTTACTTAACAAAAGCAAACATGATTTGGCAAGCCATAAAACCAAATGATAGTTTCATCCATGCTTCATAAATACAGGTTTCAGATGGGTATAAAATGAAGGAGAAAAAACATATTACAAAGTAATACACTTTCAATCTGAAATTCTAGCAATTTTTTTTAGTTACTTAGAAGGCAATACATGCATTTCTATACCCGGAAAGCTTTGCAAGGACAAAGTGCATAAATAATAGGTGTATAACTGACCTCTGCGTTATTTGGTATTCCATGTACATATTGAATTATTTCTAGCTGTCATGCATATAGATATTTAAGTTTTTTAATTTATGAAATTGACTTTATGGAAAAGTATTTCTGTTATATTCGAAAAATGTACTTACAGATAAACACTTGTAAATTACAAAACTTGAGTCCAATTAGTTCGGTGGCCTTCAATCGAAGTTCTCAGGAAATAACTCTACCTATGTTCATAACTATCAAGAATTAAAGGACATTGTTAATTGGCTTGGAACTTTATTTTGTTGGATTCTTAGTTCTTATTCTGTTATTGGTTTATAGCAATAAGTATCTGTAGTAGTCTTAAAGCCTATACTAAGCTTTTGGCTTTGATTTCTTATAAAAAGAATGATAATACAGAAAGGCTACTCAATTCAACAATATTTTTATCTCTCTTTTCATTTCATTTTCTGGTTTCTTCAAGTCATAGCATTTGCAGATACCTGTTTTCATAACAGATTGGTGTTAGAGCTGAGGTTGGATTCTTTTTTGGGGTGTTCTTTTCTGGATCAAGAAGAATTGGTTCTACAAAGTATGATATTGAGAAGTTTCCAGACAAGAATGATTTCAACCTATGGAGAATGAAGAAGAGAGTTCTATTGGTCCACCAAGGGCTAGAGAGCAAGAAGAAGAAGTGTTTTATCTGTGGGAGTGAGGCGCATCTAAAGAATGAGTGCCCTGAAAATATAAAGAAAAAGAGGTATAGAGAATCAATAAGTCATTGCGGTGATGTTGATGTTATTTCAGGAAGATATCCGAGTACTAAAGTGATGTGCATTTCAGAGGAATTTATCAGAATGGGTTTTTGATTCTGGAAGGACATTCCATATGTATCCTAACAAGGATTGGTTCATTTCTTACGATGAAAACCATGCAGGACATTAGGCAACAATAAGACTGTAAGGTGATTGGAATTGGCACCATAAAGTTGATACTTGCAAATAAGGATCTTGCAAGAGGTGAGACATGTACCTGATTTGAAGAGGAATCTAATTTCTTTTGGGATGTTTGATAAACAAGGCTTTTGGGAATGTATCTGTATTAGTCTTAAAGCCTATATTAGGCTTTTGGATGTGATTTCTTATAAAAGGAATGATAATATAGAAAGGTTACTCAATTCAGTAATATGTTGTCTCCCTTTTCATTTCATTTTCTAGTTTTCTCAAGTCATAACATTTGTGGAGATCTGTTTTTATAACAAATATTATTAATAAATCCTAAACATATAAGAAATTAAATTGTAAGGCAATCATATAAGAAATTATGCTACTACTTTCAACCCAAATCCTAAAAACATTAAGTTTGTAAATCACTCTCACTTAAATGTTACTCAACTTTCCTATTTTTATCCAATATATGATTTCAACTCACATTTAAATTCCAACATACATCTTTTAGATAATCCTTTGTATGCAATTAACATTTCAGTCCTCATTTTCATGACTATAGCATAAGATGATGCATGAACTTCTATAAGCTATTAGGACTAAAACCTAATCTATATCAATCAAATTATGTTTAAGTGACATGAGATGTGTTATAATAAAAACAGCAACAACTGTTAAGTGGTTATAATTCAATTGTATTCTCTCTTATAATTCTTTCTTAATAACATTCTCGGGACCTTCATTCCTTGGTTCCCTATTTTCTGTAATTCTTCAAGTGAGTTAATTCCTAGAATTATTTTTATCGGATCAATTGGTATCAGCTAGGTTGGTCCTTGTCTACCACGTTCATGGCAGATTCCAAACGAAGTGCTACAGCAATGAAGGAGTTGGAAGAAAAATTGGCATCACGATTGGAAGAGCGTTTGGCAAAATTAGCAGGATCTATACAAAATACTTTAGGTATTGCTATGCAAGAAACCTTGCAAGAATTACTCAAAAGAAACGTAGAGGCTATAAGGTCGGGGACAAGAACGGATCAACGTATGTATTCTTGCAGCATACGTTTAGCAAGAATTGACTTTCCTCGTTTTAATGGTGATAATGTTCATCAATGGCTTTATCAATGTCACAATTTTTTTCTCATTGATAACACTCCTGACGAGACTAAAGTTAAGCTAGCGGTTGTTCATATGGAGGGACGTGCACTCCAGTGGCATTCGGCAATTTCAAAAACAACTAACTGCACTGTTTGGTCTTGGAAAGAATATCAACAATGGGTTCTTGAGCGATTTGGAGACGTGGGTGCTGACCCAATGGCCGATATGATGCAGCTGCTCTAAAAAAAGTTGGTGGTGGAATATTATGAGGAGTTTGACATCATTATTAACCGATTGAGTCTATCAAAAGAATACTCCCTAAGCTATTTTTTGGGAGGTCTCAAGAAAGATACGCAAATGATGGTTCGTATGTTCCAGCCCACTACAGCCCATAAGGCTTTTTCGTTAGCGAGATTATATGAGGCAAGTAACTTTTCAAGCTCTACAATCCCAATTGGCAGTCGACAGCACCAAGGGGTGTTAGGCCCCAAACCATCAAACCTAGACAAGAGTGTTTTAATGGTTGAAAATAAGATATGCTGAAATTGGTACCGGGTAAATGTTTAACTCCAGCTTACATGAATAAACGTAGAGCAAAAGGTTTATGCTACTTTTGTGATACTCCCTATTCCTCCAAACATTGGTTAACACACAATAAACTGCAACTTTATGTGTTGGATGCTTCCGAGGAGGAAGGACAAGAGGAGAAAACAACAGGGCCAGTGGATGAGCCTCATATTTCTGTTAATGCGGTAATGGGTATAGCTAGTTTTCAAACAATGAGGGTTACATGTTTCTATCACAAGAAACCATTGCACATCCTTATTGAGACACAATTTCTTGGATATTCAGGTTGCCAAGAGATATGGTTGTAAAATTGAGGTAATGGATGGTCTAAATGTGGCGGTGGCAGATGGTTCCAAGATTCAAATAGCTTTAATGGTGAAAGATTTTTCTTTACTATTCAAACAACCACGTTTAAAACATATATGTTTTTAATTCCCTTGGGCTGTTGTGATATTGTCCTAGGTATTGAATGGTTAGTTACTCTAGGGGATATCACTTTGAACATTAATCATTTGACTATGGGCTTCAAGATTCATGGAAGAAAACATGTCTTACGCGGCTCTTCTTTCGAGGGGTTGCAAATGATTAAAAAGTAGCATTTTCGAAAGGCTTTGGTTGAAGGTGTGCATATCTCCATGTTGCATGTAGGAGAAGAAGAAGGTGCTTTATTACAAGCGCTAACTACCCACGCTACTTCGTTGCCAGTAGCAGAAGAAGTAACTAAATTGTTACAAGAATTTGACGATGTTTTTGTAGAACCAACTCAGCTACCTCCTTTTTGGCCGGATCATGATCATCAAATACCCCTGGTGCAAGGAACCAATCTAGTTAATATAAGGCCTTACAGGTATGCGAAAAACAAAAAGGATATCTTGGATAAGTTTATTCAGGAGTATTTGCAGTCTGGTATAATTCGAAATAGCCCTAGCCCGTATGCTAGTCCTGTGGTGTTGGTCAGTAAGAAAGATGGGACATGGAGGATGTGTGTAGATTACAGGGAGTTGAACAAGAATACAGTGAAGAACAAATTTCCAATTCTCTTGGTTGAAGATTTATTGGATGAATTATATGGCTCAACAATCTTTTTTAAGATTGATCTCAGATCTGGGTATAATAAAGTTCGAATGGATTCCGCAAATGTGCACAAAACAAATTTTAGGACTCATGGGGACCACTACAAGTACATGGTAATGCCATTTGGGCTTACCAACGCGCCTGCAACTTTTCCAGGTCTAATGAATGCCATATTCTAACAATTTTTTAGAAAACTTTTGCTGTTCGACGACATTCTTATATATAGTGGGAATTTGCAACATTTACACCATCTGAGGATGGTTTTATTATCAGTAAGAAAGAACCACTTGTTTGCTAGGCGTTCTAAATGTTACTTTACTATGGAGAAAGTGGAATACCTGGGTCATTTCATATCCGGAGAAGGAGTAACCACTGACACTGGAAAAATTGAAGCAATGGTGCAATGGCCCTTGCTAAAGACCATTAAGCAGCTGAGAGGATTCTTGGGACTGGCAGGGTACTATCGGCGGTTTGTTAAAGGGTATGAAATAATAGCTAAACCCCTTACTGACATGCTAAAAAAGGGAGCACCTGTGACCAAGGTTTTTATGAAATGAAAACATCAACTTCCAAAAGATGCTATATGGGAGTTCTACTATGATCTGAAGAAAAAATATCCAATGTTCAATCCTTGAGGACAAGGATTTCTAGAGAGGGGCTTTGTTATAATAAAAACACCAATAGCTGTTAAGCAGTTAGGCTGACAGTGTTGTTGAGCTCAGCAACAACTCTTATGCGGTTAGGCTGACGGTTGGTTAGATATCTATCAAAGAAGGTCACGTCAAACTGGATGGGACACTGCTTTTCATTCAATTGTATTCTCCCTTATAATTCTTTCTTAATAACATTCTCGGGACCTTCATTCCTTGGTTCCCTATTTTTTGTAATTCTTTGAGTGAGTCAATTCCTAGAATTACTTTTATCGCATCAAGATGCTAGAAACACATAATCACACCAATGAGGAGTTGAAACTCTGAAGCGTATAACATCAAGGTAAACTACGAAAGTGCAAAATATCAAAAGCATCCCCGGAATATATACTAAGTATTAATGCCCTTATGCAAGAAAAGTGTTAAGGCAACCCATGATGCATTGATGGGTGAAAGTCGTGATGGAAGACCTGCAAGTGATATTTGCAATTGCAGAATCAGCAGTTTTTTGACGTTCAGCAGCAATCTTGCTTGCGACAAGGTCAGGCCACGAGGTTCCACTGGCTAGGGCTGTAAATGCTATCACGTAAGCATTTATTCCTGCCAAAGAGGGGAAAACACTCAAATATGCAAAACTGACAATTGTAAAGGCTACTTTGGATCTATAATAATCTGCAAAGAAGAGGACAGGAATATCATTGAGTTTGAAAGAAAACCTGTAACACAACTTATAAGATCTGTGATCTTAGTCACAATGTAAGCTATCCCACTGATGAAAAGCAGCGAGCAAATAAAGGAGATCCATCCATGAGCAATTTGGCATGGAGGAACAAACGCAAACAGAAATCTCCAGGGTAAAAGCAGCAACTGCCAGAAAATTCGAGCTAGGCGGTGACACATATTTTTGAGTTTTTTTGTTTCTGGCTTCTCCAACTGTTGAAGAAATTACTGACTGTTATTCAGATATTGACAATATATTTTTGAAACTTTTCGTAAGTATGATTTGTTAGTACATTTTCACAACACCTTTTGTGATGTATGAATAATCATTTTATCCAAGTCCTAACATCAACAAAAAGGTCAAGAGCTCAACAATGTCAATTGATAATGTAGTAGGCTAGTTGTGGTTGTTTTCTTAATGACATTAAGGTACACTTGCAACATAAAATAAAGTACCCTCAGAGCATCCACAAATTGCTTTTTCCAAATTGTAAGCAAGTGGGTATCCTCCAACATTGTTTCCTTGGCTTTGTCCAAAATTTCAGCCTTATCATCTATTTGAGGTACTCTGACATACAATGGATCTGCAAATTAGAAAATTTGGACACAAGATGGCTATGACATTTCATGATGTTTCTAATGCTGAACAAACTGTTTCAGGAGCAGAAAACATTGTGATAAGTCAAGTCGAACTTCAGTACATAAAGGTGGGAGAGCTACCTGTCGGGTTTTCTGAATAAATGGAAAAAATATCAACAGTGTCCCCATTTTCTTCATTAACATGACTTGTCCCAGAGAAATTCACCTTCCGATGGGCTTCCTGTTGAAAATACGGAGTCTCTTCTGTTACCCAATCCTCGGGCCTCTCATCTCTTGCACTATAAATGAAAAACAAGGCATCAAACTAGAAATATCAAGATTCAAAAGGATTATTAAATTTCAATCCTTTTAGTAAAATTTATTAAAAAGAAGCAAGTAGTGCACATACATAGGTAGAGAGATATAGGGCCAACGTTTGTCTTGAGCATAAGCATGGATCAATAGTAATCCATATTGCAGCACTGTCAACAAGGCCTCCCACAGAGTCACAACGTTTGGAGTCCATACCTACATTCAATTTCTTGATAAGTATTCCCACAAGAATAAGAATGGCATTTCAACAAGCGAAGCGATAATACTAATACAGTTAAACCAGACACGCTTTTGTTTTTAAACTTATCTTACCTTAAGTATGAGCAAAAGAGTTATAATTGTTCTGACTTGCTGATTGGGACACAAGATTGTATATTCAATGCTAACTTAGCAGATGCAGTTGCAAATTCACTTATATACATTGACCATGGAAACCTAAGAACCAAATCTAACATTCTTGGAAGTGAGAGACAGGCTAAGAACTGTTCTCACTATCTTTCTGCAAATTTTACACAGGTTAACTGCAGCTTCTAAGGTGAGAAATCTTGTAGCGAGAAATGTAGGCCAGATTATAGTTCTTAGAAACCAGAAATAAGTTATTGGAAATAAGAAGGAGCAAACAATGCATATTTAAGGAGTTTTAAATTGAACAATGTTGGAATATTACCTCCAAAATTATGTATAACCAAATGTAAGCCCAAAATGACCAAAACAGCTCCACCAGCCATACTCCTAGATCAGCAATCTTCTTCAGCTCTCCTGCTTTTGGAACTACTACACAAATAGCGTGGATGGGGAAAAGGTCAAATGCAGCAGAACCAACAAGTGTTCCGGGTCCCAAACCTGAATATTCAGCATTTATAGAGAGTTATCGGTTAACAGTCTAAAGCCTCTTGTTAGATATTGTTAAGATATTGTTAGCTATTGTTAACCACAATATCAAACAATATCTTCTGTTTATTCTGTTTACTTTCAGTTACTCTTTTAGTTGTACCTCTCTTTATTATAAATAAATTACCCTGTGTGTGGTTTATACACAAGAGAGATTAATCAAAACCCTATTTCCTCTATATTCAACTTGGTATCAGAGCTTAAGGTTATTTTAAAAAAATTTCGCCTACTTAGATGCTGATTGGGCAAGATCTCCTTCAGATAGAAGATCTATATCTGGATATTGTGTCTCCATTGGTGGTAACTTGATCTCATGGAAAAGTAAGAAACAAATGAATTGTGGCAAGATCCAGTGCAGAAGCATAATATAGAGCTATGACCTCAGCTGCTTGTGAACTTGTTTGGCTTAAGCAATTGTTTAGAGAGTTACAATTTGGAGATGTCACTCAAATGACACTTGTGTATGACAATCAGACTGCTCTTTATATTAGTTCTTATCCTCTTTTTCGTAAGAGGACCAAACACATTAAGATTGACTGTCATTTCATTCGAGAAAAGATTATGTCTAGAGACATCAAGAATGAGTTTGTTAACTCAAGTGATCAGTTAGCAGATATTTTTACTAAGTCAATTGCTTAGAGAGTTACAATTTGGAGATATCACTCAAATGACACTTGTGTATGACACTCAGGTTGCTCTTTATATTAGTTTTTATCCTCTCTTTCATAAGAGGACCAAACACATTGAGATTGACTATCATTTCATTTGAGAAAAGATTATGTCTGGAGACATCAAGACTGAGTTTGTTAACTCAAGTGATTAGTTAGCAGATATTTTTACTAAGTCTTTATGGAGGCTTAGAATTGATTATATTCGTAACAAGCTTGGCACATACGATTTGTATGCTCCAGCTTGAGGGGGATGGTTTAGATATTGTTAACCATAATATCAAATAATATCTTCTATTTAGTCTGTTTACTTTCGATTACTCTTTTAGTTGTACCTCTCTCTATTATAAATAGATTACCCTATGTGTGGTTTATACACAAGAGAGATTAATCTCAAACCATATTTCCTCTATATTCAGCACCACTCAATAATTCCATAATTATTTAAGATCATAACAAAATATATACTGCACCATCAAATATTATTCAAAAGAAAGTAATAGTATTCACTCGAGTCACTCATTAGAACAACTATTTGCACTTCCCAGAACCAAAACTAAAATTTGAACAATCTATTAGTAATTGCGTGTATATATATATCAAATCAGTATGTGTGCGTATATACATCAACATTTGTTTATCAATTTTAGGGAATAACAAGGGAAAAAAACGAATACTTCAAAATATATCGAATCAGTATAGCCAACAAAAAGGATAAAATACAATTTCAGCTTTAGAAGGACTGTCAAAGTATAAAGACAAAGGATTAAGAACATGAAAAATAGTAGCAAAAAGTTATTACTTTCTGACATATACTCACTAAATTTCAAATGTAACAATATGATAATCGACAAACAAATTAAACTGATTTTAATATTCTATCATAAGAAAGGAACAGAACAGAAGCTTGAAAGACAAACCTCCAGCATACAGCTTCCCTACGTTTTGTACAGCATCAATGGTGGCTAATGATATCTGGGGAAAGCTAGTTCCAAAGGCCAACAAGCTAATATCCGCAATAGTGTAATTCCAAACTTTTTCATGTCTAATAGTTTCAGTTTTAGTAACAGGATCTACCTCCACTACCTTCCTTGTGTGCTTGACCACATTTTCCATCGATAGAAAGAAGCGAGCGGTTATAGCCGATAATCCGATAAAACAATAAGCAAGGCCAAGAAAATAGAAAAATGCCCGGAAGTTATCCCCAACGGCAGATTCTCCGCTAAAAATTAAGTACCTGTCACACTTTTCGTGCCCCAATAAGCTGGAAAAGGGAACCATTCTTCTTAGCGTGGGTCTCAGAACAAATTGCAGTTCAACTATGAGACACGCAAGAAATCATTCACACACCCTGATAACACCACCAAGTCAGTTATTAGAAGACACAAAAATAAAATTGAGAAAATCAAAACACTATATTGCTTCAACAACACGGATTCCTTGTCAATTTTGAAATGACAATCATTGGACTGGCAGCATGAACACTCTCAAGTAAAGTCAGCATCTATAAATGTAGGTTCAGAAGAATTAATAGTTATCATTTTCTTTCATTCTTTCCTGAAGATGTTGAGAAATAGTCATGAGCTCGTATTCAACTGCAAGCAATTACTGAGTGCAAATACAAACTATCATCTTTTTTTTTTTTTAAATCAGAAGTAAAACTTGAGAAAGAGAAGTAATGAAAATTATGGAATTGGACTAAGGTGAAGAGGGAAGAAATCAGAACCGGCGATCTGAACGGCAAATTTCGCCGGGGTGGATGGCATGAAAAAAAAAAATTCTGGGGAAAACAATTTTTGTTTGTTGACAGGAAGTGGGAGAAGAATTTGGACTCAGGAGTAGCTTTGCAGAATGTGGTGTCTCATGGAGGAGGAGCTTCTGTTCTGTGTTCAGTCTTCAGGTTGTCATCTTCGCCAAATTAAATGTGATGTGATTTAACATAATTCCAAAAGCACCACTCTCATTTTTTATTTTATTTTTTTGAATAATATTAAAAAATAATTATTTATTCAAATTGATCTTTCACTTAATCACTCTGTAATATTAGAATTGGGATCAAAAAAACAATTTTTGAATGAGAATTCGCAGCTGTGATAATGAAAAACAATGAGAATATTAGAATTCGATATTGAGATGATATTGAAAAAAAAAATTAATTGTAGTTTAGAATTCAGTCCCCTGCAAACTGTATTTTAGTATTATGATTTATTTAAATTTCGATTTTTCAAAAATTGAATTCTGAAGTTAATAGACAATTTTATTTGTTAAATAAAATAAATAGTCCATTTGAGTAAATAATTGTTTTTAATATTATTAAAAAAATCCCCGTTTTCGTTCATCTCATAATAATTTTATTTTCATTATAATATTACTTTTACTATTACAGACAAAGTTATGAATTGAGATTACTAAAACTATATATAAATAACAGCAATACACTGTTATGAGACTTTCTTGTTATGGATTAAACTTTTGTGAATTTTACCTTTTTTCTTAGTCTTCAATAGTTTGCAGTAAAATGAAACAACAAAGATAAATAAGTAAAATATAATAACTTTTTTATTAATAATAAAAAACTATTTTTTAATATAATAAATATGTTTATTTTTTATAAATAAATGGAAAAAAGTGAAAAAAAAACATTTTATAAATTTATTCTAATTTAAATAAATATTTATTTATTTTTATATTTACAAATATATATATATATAATTACTATTTTAATAAAATATAATTAATAAAAAGATTATTATAAAAATCAAAAGAATAATTTTATATATTTATAATACTGTATTATTTTATTAATTTATTTTAAATATTTTTAAAAAGATTATCATAAAACTATTTTTTAATTATATATTAAAATATATATTATTAAAAAATAGATATAATTTAAATATATTATTTTAAATTTATTAATTAAAAAATAATTAATAATTAAATAGGTAATTTTGTGAATGAAAAAGTATAAAAATTATATTTTATCAATAATAATAACATATTTAAATTAGTAATAATATTTTTTACATAATAAATTTATTAGCAATAATAAACTTAAAATAATAGCAACAATATATTTGTAACTATTATTTAAATATATAATAATATTTTTATTAATTCATTCAAATTTAATATAATACAAATACCTTATCATGTAAAATTATCAAATAATATTTTACAATTATTAATTTTATGTTTATATATTTTAAAATATTATATTTTAAAAAAAATCACATCCAGATTCAGTTTTCCAAAAGTCATATTCGGACCAATTATTGTACAAATTGAAAATCGAATTTTAACTTTTGAAAAATTGGATCACCTTTAGTAAATATATTGAAAATGTTTTTTAATATAAAATAAATAAATAAATCAGAAAAAAAGAAAAAGAGTTCTACTAAAGTATGAATCATTGGAAAAATAAATGTGAATACAGTGACAATATAACTAGAAACGAAAATCTCATGGGCATGCAGCGTTGAACAAGTGTCACTACGTCTCCATCACTTTGAAATAAGAATCAAGTTGTGTTAAATGTGTAAATAAAATATTAAATTTATCTATCCTCATTTTAAACTATTTAAAATTAACCATTTATGATGAATATATTTAATAAATAAAATTATATAGTTTTTCTGAAAAGGAAAAAATTATTTTACACTTTTATAAAATACTCAATAGGTTTATAATTTTTTAATGTTTCAATAATTTTATCACATCGTAATTCTTTTAAGAACATATAATTTTATAATAATTTCAATTTATAAGATAATCGTAATTTATATCCTACGTTATAGAATATTTTTCTTTTTTATTATTAACTAAGTTTATGTGATTTCTATTATTTAACCATTAGCGATATTAAACAAGTATTTTTCTTTTAGAAAAAAATTTATTTTAAAAAATTGAAAGGTAAAGTTTTGTGTTTTCAGATATACAGGATTTATTAGGTGTACTTTTAAGTATGTTATTGGAAAATTCAAATTTTATGTTTTCCTTTTTTAACAATTATAAAATATAGTTCTCCAGCATAATATTTTCAAGGTTATAGTGGAAGATTTATTACTTGTAATTGAATAAGGCAAGATATTTATTATTTAAAGAATAATATCTCAATATGTGTTTGTTAATAAAATAGACATCACATCAATAGTTAATTAAATTATTTACAAGGAATAATTAAATAATTTAGATTGCTTAAACTTTTACAATATCAAATTGTCAATATTTTGTCGTATTTTGTAGTATCCACCAAGTAATAAAAAATTGTGTAAATAGTTGTAACTCCTCTTTATAAGTTATTAGTAATTTAGTTATTAAATAAAATCATCTCATAAAACTTATAACATGATATCATTATCATTATTTTTTTACATACAAATTTATATTTTCATGAAAACTAATTTAATATTTTTCATGTAAATAAGGATTAAAAATGTGTTCTTTTATATATTTTAATTTGTCAAAAAACAAAGAATGCCACAATTTTATTTTTATATGTTATCAAACATTACAATTTTATTTTTAAAATATATTTTAATAAATTAAAAAAATTATAAATTATTTAAATGGTCATATTAAAAAATATACGAAAGTTACGATCATATTAAAAAAATTCAATGTTTTGAAATCTTAATTCTTGCGGAGGAACTGGAAAAAAAAAATCTGGAGACGTCTCATTACCGCCAAAGGAAACAATTTTCCAGTTAGGACAAAACATAAAGATAATATATATTTACTTTTATTAGTGAAAGTGAGATATGCAAAATTTAAATGTGACTTGGGATTTGGGAAGCTCACTCTATAATATTATATAACATAATATTATATAACAAGTTTACTTTTTAAATCATAAAATACAAATGGGAAGCAATGATTTTAGAGTTTAGTTTATATAAATGTAAAGTCTCTTTCTCTAGATATCCAATAGTTTATTTTGTTCTATTCGATTTTCATCCTCTTCGTCGTTAACATGTTTTGTGTTCGAAACATAAATTTCACTTGGAGTATATGGATAGGTAGCTCCCTTCCTGGGCAAGCACATTTGTTTTCTTATTTTTATTTTTTATAAAAATAGATCATACATATTGTTTCATTTAAGAACAAGACTGTCAAAGTCTTATATATGGTCTTATAATTTCATTAAGATTAATTTATATATTTCAGATATTGTTCGCTTTAAAAAATTTATCTTAACTTAAAAAAATTTATCTATTATGATATTGTCTTTAATAAGGTCTTAAAAAGTTGACGAGTAAAATATATATAAATTATCATTAACCTCGACTTCTAGTGATATGAGACTCATAAACATACTAAACACATGTATATATGTGAAAAAAGAAGTCTTTATTGAAAAAATTATATAGTAGTACTTATTTTTTGTTATAAAATAAATATAATATTTATTTTGTAAATAATCTCAAATCTATTCATTCTCTTTTTTATTAGTGTATTTATAACAATTTAATTCTCTTATTTCTTAAAAAAACATTATTGTTTCCTCGTTAGATTTAAAGAATATAGTGTAATTTTTTTGTAGTAAAATTTTATTATTATCTATTGTCAGCTTTATTCTTTTTTTTTCTCATCTTCTATTTTAATTGTGAGATTTTATGATGTTACTCTGATTTCTAACTGTGGTATGAGAGTCTGATTCTTGGTTGTGATATTATTCTGTTACTATAGTCATTAGAATAATATCGAAGAAAATCATTAATATGTTCTCTAATTATAGTTAATTTAATCTTCCACATCAGAAAAGAGTTATTCTAGTTATTAGATATAGAGTGTTGTAGTGTGATTGTGTATGTCTAGGAAAAGTTCTGACAAAGAAATACTTAATATTTAAGCGTGTACCCACCTCTCTTTCCTGAAAAAATAGGGGTAAATATTAAATCATTCGATATAATAAAACAGATATAAAAGTAATAATTACATATTATCATCAATTACAAATCATCAATACACTAAGACGCCTTTCAGAAGTCTACCCTAACAATGCCGAACTCAGAGACTATCATCTATGGGCACATTGTGATCGCACTCGTAGTACCATTCTGACCACTCTCTACACAGAGTAGGATTACTGGCATCCTTCGTCACTCATACTGGAGTACCCCTCCGAGTGCGCCACCAATCATTCCCCATCGACTTCTCACCAATTGATCTCGTAGTCTACCTGACCCGACCAATCAGTGAAGTCTGAGACCTCATTCAGAATCCTCCGAGATAGTTATTACACTAATATACTTTGTACTACCCCAAGTATCATTCAAACACAACAAAAATCATTTACATCTGACGGATTCTGGACTACATGTCCTCACGACTCATTCGGGTCAATAAATAATAGTACTTGATTGATTCTGGGTATCAACCCTCTGATTCAGTCTAGCCAATACATAACATCTCATGACTGATTCTGGGCATGAGCCCTTAGACTCAGCTCGACCCACACACGTCATAACACACTCTCGAATCTTTAAAATTATTACTTTCATTCTATATTTAAATATATATATATATATATATATATATATTTTTTTTCGAAATCATTTCTAAAATCATTTTCGAAATAATTTCCAAAATCATTTCCGAAATCATTAAATTATTATTTTACCCTTAATCTTTTCTAAAAATTTCATGTATGTCCCTAAATGACTATTTTACCCTTGGACGTTTTCGAAAATTCCTTTCATGTCCTAAAAATAACTATTTTACCCTTGAATATTTTCGAAAATTCCTTCCATGTCCCTTTCTTCTTCCTCGCGTCCAATGAACAATCAAATTTTGCAGATTTTAACAAATTTCAAATTACTCAGCTTTTAGACAACCAAACTAATATCAAATTCAAATTAAACATGACTTATATCTAATTTAAGTTGAAAACAACAATTTTACCATATAATTCATCCTTAATTTCAAGAATTCCAACAAAATTTCAAATTTTCAAAACATAAGAAATCTTCAAAATCAATCATTCTAATGTTCAGATTTCCACTCTTATTCCTTATTCACAAAGTACTCAACAATTTAGTTTCATATATTGAATGGATTAAACTTCCCCTTACCTGGTGTGGTATTTCTATCGAAGTTTTTCCACTTAATTCAAGTTCTCTCTCGTTTCACCAGATCCTGCACTAGTAGAGTCTTTTTTGAACAGTAATAATATTATAATATAAAAAAAAACATACGTCACATATACTCTTCGAATGAGTGACTTCACAATGGTGACAAATCACATCAACAATGTAAATACGTTGTTTGTTCAATTTTTAGCAGCAAATTTCAACATAGTTAAAAAGGAGCATGTGAAGCTTTTACTTCAAAGCTTACCAAATTCATATGATTAACTCGCTATCAACATAATAAATAATAATATTAATGGACATATACACTTTGAGGATGTTGTTAGAACTATTCTTGAAAAAGAATTGA